TATAAATATCACACACATAACTTATTGCAGTTGTATAATATTGTTATATCATTTAGTAACATTACAGCAGTGCCTAGATGAGGTGTTGTTGTTATATCCCAGCTCCCTGGCACATAGCAAATACTTCAAAGTAAAGACAGCTTAACATAAATTGTATTGCACCATCAGTATTATGAAAATACATCTTCTGTAGAAATTAACATACCTTGTTGGGAGGAATAAGATCAAAATGTTCCCACACAGGGGAGGACATCCTCCTCTTCTTAGCTGGCTCCATTCTCTCCTGACTTTCTCTCCTCACCCTCATAAACCTCCAAACGGTCTCCAAACTCTCACTAACCGCAACTCTCCATCAAACACCCACATTTTGAATAAAGTCTGAGGGGTTTATATCACTGTCATAGCTCGTTCAAAGTTCAAACCACTTCCTGAACCAGTCACGTGGTACAGCCGGTCAGCGAGGCTTCGGACGTCATCATTTTCAGCTCCTCCCATAAATGAAGCACGCCTCGTTACGCGCATCGCGGAAACGCCCCCTCCATTGCTTGAAGCCTCGATACAGAACTTCACATCACTAATCATGGGTGTGCAACTGACATATCTGGAAGCTGTGTGATACTCTCATGTCACTGTGGTCCAAAATGTTTATCTATAGATAACTACCAAAAGCTAAAAGAGAAATAAATGATTATATTAATTTTGTACAGAGACACACATAATGGCATATGCACATGAAGTAACACACAATTTTCCACCAGATGATGCTGTTGGAAAAGTATGCTCTGATTCACATGACCCTGAGAAGCATTGTCTACAAACTACATAGAAAGGTGAATGTAAACTTACACCACCTGCTGGCTGCACAGACAGAGCAAAAAAGAGTAAAAATAAAAGTCATTCTTGCTGTATACTTCCGATTTCTAACGCACATGTATGTACACAGGTTGCAGCATAATGAAGGCTGAAGCATGATCGGTATTATAAGTTGTTCATATAAGTATACTGGTAACCCGAGTGTGAAGAAAAGATTATTTTTTGTGTAATAATTGATCCAATTTTCCTGTTTAAGTCTGAAGAAAACTATCAGAAATTCCTCATTTTCTGGGGCAAAGCTAAAGTGTTCTTTTTTAGATAGTGAATTTGTGCTTGTTAACACTTTGACCCTCAGTTAATAAAACAAAATAAAACAAAATAACAGCATGTTTAAGTTTTGTTTAAAAAAAAACTGCTGCATCTTCATTTAAAAAAAATGCAATGCTCTAGGACTGTATTGTGGAATGTTCTTACAAATTTAATACTACTTTTTAGATTTTTTTGGTTTGTTTTTACATACCCATAAAGGAAAACAAATTTTAACATAACTTATTTTCCAAACTGACAAATGACAAAACTACCAAACAAGAAATTAATTAGCAAACAAAAAAAGAATTACACAGAAGTGCTGCTTGCCACGAGGCGTAACAGGCCGCAGGCAAGTGGAGTGCCCTGTGGGCTGAAAAACGTTGAAACTCTCAATCAATGCTTAAAGCTTACCATCATAGTAGAAGACACCTGACCTCCCTAAGGGGGCCCAGCCTTCCTCCTCTAACTCTTGTTTAAACAAAGCTATGGACAACAATGAAAGCTAATTCATGAATATAAAAAGGAGCTATCCTCACATTAAATATAATGCACAGTTAATATAATCTTAACTGTGGAGGAGAGACGCCTAATACAAGTACACCAGTCAGACAGAGATAATGGTGAAGAACGCTGGGGCCCCGTTGAATTTCTGCATAGGGCCCTAACAGTCTGTACTCTGCACTGGAAAGCTAGCTTTAGTTAAGTGTACAATTTCAAGCAGGTCCAATAGCCACCTTTAGAAACTCAGGGTCCATATAAAGGTGAATGAAACAACTTCTGTAAAATAACTAAACAACTGTGGATAATGCTTCCAGCACTAAGGATCACAATGGGGGTTTTAAAAATAGGGGTTTAATTATAGTTGAGAAGCAATGACAAAACATTTCCTAGTCCCCTAAAGCCCCGCTGATAAATCTCCAGTCTAGGTTCTAGGTTCTTTATTATTTGTCACATGCATAGTTATACAAGTATAACACACAGTGAAATGTAACCTGACACGCTCCTCGACATGTGCACAAATTGGGGGGGGCGGGGGGGGGGGGGGGGGGGGGGGGGGGGGGGGGGGGGGGGGGGGGGGGGGGGGGGGGGGGGGGGGGGGGGGGGGGGGGGGGGGGGGGGGGGGGGGGGGGTGTGGGGGAACCGAAAGCACTGTATATATATATATATATACTATAAATATATATATATATATATATTATATATATATATATATTATATATATATATATATATATATATATATATATATATATATACTACATATAGTATATACACTGGGTGAATGTGCAGTAGTAGCAGCAAGCAGGTGAATTCTGTACATTAATATGAATAGATATCTGACTATTTTACAGGATAGACAATATAAACATATTTAAAATTAAAGGAATTGAAATGTACATTGTGCCTTGGTTTAGAGTGTTTGGAAGAGAGTCCTGTCTCAGTCAATTATAAATCAAACAAGCCAAAAAGTTAATGGAACTACTTGAGTCAAAGTACCGAACTACCAGCGAGATACTGGAAAAGTACTTCTTTGATTACATAAAGTCCACTCCTCCTTAACATTGCTGGAAACTTTGTTAAGTAACAGCATACTGAATTACACAAAATGTGCCGAATGGTCGTGGCATGCGTGTGGGACGTCAGGAAGTGGTGAGCCTGTCACATGTGAAAAAAAGCCCCTGACGTACCTACAGTCAACTATTTGAAAACTTTCAGGCTGTGAGCATGTTGAGCCTAAAGGATAAACTGAATTATCTGATAATATTTTGCTGCTGTGTATTTGTCTCTGTCCATGGAAGCGGCAAAGGTAAACATAGATATTATTTTATTGATGGACTAGCTGTTATACATGTGCCATGGTTGTTTGAGGGTAGGAACACTTGAGCACACTGCTAGAACATAGACTAGAGAGATATAGAGTAATCATTACTGAGGAACAAAGATAGAAGTTTAAAACTATTTATTTAATATTTAACATAATGAGTGTGAAAAAAACACGACAGAGATTAAAATGCTTAATTCAACTTTCTTTAAAGTTGTACCAAAAACAAACAATGTAGCACACTTTATTGTTATTGTTGTATACAGGGCGTTGTTGCTGGACTAAATAAAAAGAGTATGTACAGCCATTTAACAATACATACATTTTATAATAGTGACGTACTTCTGGGGCACGCTATGGAGTTTAAAAAAAATAGAGAGATGATATTTTATGTAACGTCAAATCATAAAGGCACCTAATTAACCAAATAATCAGATGTTGTTCTTGGAAAAATGTGCTGATATGAATTATTTGAACATGGCATGACAAATTTGGGCATATTTATGTGTTACAGCCACTATGATGGAAATTACATGTCAATATTATAGATGATGAGGGAAAATCGTAGAAAATATGTGAATATTTTTTATTACCTTTTATTACCAGGGCATATGGGCACTACCTCGAAGTATTATTGGCTTCTTGTCTATCTGTAGATTTGTTACACCTCTCATCATTAATATTAGGTTTCTGAGGTGTCTATTATTTGACTGAGCACTGAATTATGTGTGAGTAAGACTAAAGGGCTTTAGCTTCAGATCAGGAGGTGCATTCTCTCAGTGTAAACCAGAGTAAAGGTAAAATCTGCAACTAGATTTCCCTCTGTGGCATGCAGCCTCACGGCACTAAATCTCAACCATGCCACACAAAAGCCACACAATACAATACAGTTCCTTTATACAATGCATATTATCATAAAGTTTATTGTAAAAACATTAATTAAACATTAATTAAATCATGTAAACATTACATCTGTAGCAGATAAGATAAAACTTAAAACAAATCTTTACAAACATGAATCTTAATCTTATCTTGCGCAAGTAAATGGCCAGTAAGTCCTCCAGTTACTGAGAAAACAATACTGATAGAATGAAAAACAAACTGTATAAAATAAATTGTCTTATGTATAAATATACATGTGAATATGAAACATGTTGTTTTTAAATACACAGCATCTAATTACCATTATGTCTATATTCTCCCTGTCTTTGAAATGTTAGCACTCCAGAGAGCTCTGGGACATAATTAGACTAATAAAATGACAGATAGATAAATAATTAAGATGGACGACATGTGTGGGATGGGACAATTTATATAGTATTAAGATAAAAAATGTATTTCATTGTTGCGATCACAAAAGAAGAAAATATGCTTTATGTAAACAGGCGTTAATTCTTTTCTGGTAAGAATTACGCATTACTTTAAAAAAAAATTGCAGGTCTACATGCATCGTGTGATGTTGCGATTATGGTCCGAAGAAACAGCACTTGGAAGACTCCTCCACGACAAAGTCTGACAGTCAGCTGTCCGGTTATACACTGTGGAGAAACGCTGGAGGTCACCTGGTGTAAACTCTTTGACTCAAACAACTGTGAACGGATTCATGAAACAAAAAATGTGAAGATAACACAGAATCCTGATAAGGATAAGCTGATGTCATATTTAAATTTCAAGGAGATTTCCATTCATGACGATGGCATGTACAGATGTGGTTTACTAGGATATAATGGCAGCGTAATCAGCCATTCCATCATCATCTCAGTATCAGGTATGCTTTCAGGTATATTTTATTCTTCTTCGGCATTAAAATATAAAATAATAAAATATGAAGTGTTAATTCTGTCTACTATGTATCATTCCCTAAAGACATGTACCAGGGAGTTGAAAACCCCGATAATAATGATAAAAATACAGGTGAGAAGCTTTATTTGTCAGAAAATCACTGCCAACATTTTCGTTGGATGCAGCTTAGCACGACTGATCTGGTGATTCTGCTTTTGTAGGAACAACACCGAGCCCTGATCACAATGAAAACTGGAGGCCATACTTCTACATTTGTTTTGGCATAGTGCTTCTTATTCTCATACTGACTGCCCTCATCTTCTTGAGTTCTTGTGACTGGAAACGTAAGAGCGCTAATTTTTATTTTAGATGGTTGAAACTGATTTCATTGAATTTACCATCTAAAAATGGGTAATTTATTTATTGACTTTTCTACAGGAGTGCTGACCTTAAACTACGTAAAGGGAGAGGTAATGTTGGTCATATCAAAATATATTTTTGGGATATTTGGGGGGATAAAAAGTATTATTTATGCACTGTTATTTTGTTGTGAAGCACTTTGTTATCCTTGTCTTGAAAGGTGCTATATAAGTAAAATTTTACTTACTCACTTTTGGAGCCAGCGTCTAATGGCACCTTGGAGAAGTATAATTTTTGACTTTTTTTTCAGGGTACTTTTGGTCTAACAACAGGCTTGAAAATAGGAGAACATGTGGTTTCACTCACTGATGAACAATTTCTTTCTTTTTGTTTCAGTTTGAATGTTTTTATAGGCCATAAAATAAACAAGTAATACAGTATATAACATTTTGTGAGCCTCTGACAACCTGGCAGGCCGATTTTTCTAAGCTAATTATCTTCCACCTTGCTTAAGATTTATTGTCATGGGAGTGTCGAGAATTTTTTTTTACTAATATATTCTAATATATGTTTAATATATTCTCATTTTGGTGTTTTGTGCCATAGGAAATGCCGACTCTTATGATACCAGACCTCCCTAAATGGAGCCCTCCTTCCACTCCTGTCCCACTGACCAACTTGTCTGTTTTAAATGACATCTATTCATCATACACTCCAGAAAGATCAGTATCACCAGCTTCCCAGCCCAGTTCGAACCAGATTTCAGCTTCAAATCCAGCACTTAAATATCAAGACTGTGAAGTATATGGTATCATCAAACATAGACACGCTACCAAACAGGGTGGAAAATATCACACCATGACTAACCAAGTTAAAAACCCAGAGTCTTCTTTCACTGCTGAAAGACCAGGATCACCAGCTCACGAGCCGCATGAGTACCAGATTTCAAATTCAAATCCAGCAGTCAGAAATGAAGACTATGCAACGTATGCTGTCATCAACCACGGCAAACCTGCTGGAAAACGGCACACCGAGACTAACCAAGTTAAAAACCCAGAGTATGCTGTCATCAAATTTTCCTGAGTGTTGTTGATTTTAAATGGACACTTGCAGATGAAAAAACTGAAAAATGTTTTGCAATATGTGGTGGAGTCATGTGATGAAACGTACAGCTGTACAGCCATACTGCGGATGAGATGAATGGAGGAAGCTTGTGGTTCTCTAAGTGAACTGCATGTCTTCTAGAGTTATCGTGACTAAACCGGAAGCAGCAGTGACTTCATTCTCTAGCCCTCTGGTTTGTTCCCAGCAGCAGCACTTCTTTTTCAACTAATAATTTATTGTACTTTGTATTGTGCTTCTGATGTCATCTGATTCCAGTCCTTGTATTGACTTAACTGCAGTAACTGTCGTACTTTCATAAAAAGGTCATAAACAGATTTCTTCTTGACAGACAAATAACACTTAAATGCAGTTTTCTGACTGATTTGTTATAGAAAGATGGCAGTCATTAAAAAAAAGACATGTTAATCAGCACTAGAGAGATTTAAGAGATATGAACAGTTTCTCATACCTGTCCCTCATACAGCGCTTGTTGTTTTTGTCACCACTACTGTCAGAGACAACACCTTGCCTATTGACCACAGAAGTGTGGTTTAGCTCAAATGTGCAGGAAGTTAAAGACGGAAACATTTCTGACAATGACGTTTTTTGAACAGGGGACGCTCAGCTTCAACCACATGTACGCATTGTTAATATTGCACTTTGGGCAATGGCCTTATTATTGGTCCTGTTTTTCACATATTCTATACTTAAACTAAAAGAAAAACAAGAAAGAGTAGTATTGGTTAGCTTTTAAAAGGTACCAGAAACTACAAGCAACAGAGAATGGGGGGATTAGAGGAAATATTAAATAAAGACAACACAGTAGTTGTCATAGTAGACTCTATGTTTGTTAACCATTTGAGGTTGGAAACCTTAAAGAAATCTCCCCTTGTAAAATGTTATGGCCTTTTTGTGGACATACACTGTGTGCAATTCTGTTTAAGGGGGATTTTCACCTTTAAAATTTCTCGGAATCATTTTATAAGTGAGTCTGAAGTTAGAGCATTTTCCTGGAAAAAAGACAGCGTTTATAAAAATATTAAAACAATTATGGTAAAGCTGCAATTTAACTGTTTAGTATAATTTAAAATGTCAGTATAAATGGGTATTTAATCCTGGCTCTCTAATATTTACACTCAGTTTATCTACATTAGTATATATGTATTTGTATATATACATGTTTGATTTTTTGTTTTGTTTTTTAAAATAAAAACATAGACAATAGACTACAGACTCTATAGGTATGATTTTTTTTAAATGTTGCATTCAGTATAAGTTCAAACCATTGATTCTGCCCATATGTTTTTACTGAGGCATATATGGTGGGGGGACCAGGGAAAGTTTTTTCATATCTGTACGACCAAACTTTTTTTCTTTTTGAAATCACAGAAGTTGCCCCTCGTTCTTAGAAAGAATTCAGATTTAAGGTACTTGTGAACTGCCTTCGCTTTTAATAATTTCGAGCTGTGGCCATCTTTTACTGTATGTGCAGTGTGTGATATCAGCTAACAGATCAATAAAGCAGTAATGCATGATCATAATTTTCTTGTCAAGTCTCAAAAACAGAAATCGACAGAAAATAACACTCATTTACTACATTATGCTTGTGGAAAGGTTTGCTGTGATTTATAAGCTGGTGAGCAGTGTGCCCAGGCTCATACCATGGAATAATGAGTGCTTTTAATATGTTTATTATTTAATATTTCAAGTTTTTTTTAACCTTCATTACTTCTGAAATACAATAGCCACATGAAATCTTAAACACAGAAACACACATTTAAGCTCTTATAAAAACGGCCAATCAAATCTAATTTTCACCTACTCCAGCCAAGATTCTTTCTTTATTTACAATATGCTTTTTTCCCATAACTTTGAGCATCAATATAATGGGATATATATGTCTTTTAGCTATATGCTGCCTATCTGTGTCTGTTACGACTGTGATCGTAATCATGTGTGAATTTGAGTGTCCAGGTGCTCCTCCGGGATTGGTGGATGGCTCACACCAATTGGCTGAGGACTGCGAGACAGCGGATAAGAAGAGACCGCCTGGGACTGCCAATTCATTCATCCTCGGCCCAACCCAACCGGCAGACCGTTCACTGTGTCACTATATTATGTTAATATAAGAGCATGTAGGGGTGGACCGCCTTTTTGTTTGATCAGTTTTCTCCTGTTTTTGTTAGGCAGGGAGGAAAGTGATTGCCGTTTGGTTTAGTTCTTTTGAGTAGATAAGTTGTGTTTATTCCTGAGATAGGTTACTTTTTGTTTGTTGTTTTGGCCTTGGGTTCACCCTGAAGTTATGATATGCTCCCTTCCTTTGTTTAACTGCACTTATTGTAAATAAATCACTGTCACAAAATATTAAGTGTGTGACGTGCTGCTTGGGGTTGGACGGGGATGGATCACCCTTTAAGTTGTGGTCTGACCGCGCCTAGACGGGCCATAACAGTGTCTATGGAGGTTTTCAGAGGTAAGAAGAGGTGTATTATACTGTTTCTTGGGCCTCTTGAATAGACCTGAAACAACCTGGTGCTAGGGTCCCTGGGTCGTTGACCCAGTGTTTTGTGTTTTTGGTTCTTTGATTTTGTTATTTCATTATATTCTAGCTTTGCTTTATGGGTTTTAGGATTATTCTTAGTTTAGGTTCTCTGGGTGGGGTTTGGTTAGAGTTTTAGTGTTCTGGTTTTCTGTCTGTGTTCCATGTTGCTGTCTCCCCTGTCTGCTGTATCCCCACATCCAGTCAGTGTTTGCCCTGGTCCCACGTCTCTGTTCCCTTTGTTATAGTGCCTGCCTGTGAGTCTGTGTAATGTTTCCTGTTTTACTTTGAAAGTCCATGTCTGATGTTAATGTGTCTGGTTTTGCTTCCCCTTGTCTCATTAGGCCTGATTTGCCCCAGCTGTGTTTCCCTCCTGTTACCCATTCCCTGATTGCTCCCTCTGTGTATTTAAGCCCTGTGTTTCTTTGTGTCTGTGTTCTGATCTGCGTGCCTTTATGCTGTGTGTTCGGTCTGCCTGGTCATGTAAGTTTCTTTGGATTTTTGTTACGTTTTGCCATCCAGCAATAAAAGCTGAGTTTTGAGTTACTTTCTGCCTCCGAGTGTCTGCACTTTGGGTCCTTCTACTTCCACTTCTGCCTGCACACAGCCTTAACCTGACACCTGGCTCCTTTCAGTTTGAAAGAGTGACTCTGCTGTGAGCCCATTTCATGTTCCTCACCATACCTCTAAGGGAGAAATCAGACAACCTTTGGATCAAGCACATTTCCAACACCTGCTTGTCTAATTTCAGTCTTTCAGACATTCTCTGCAGATGCTGCACAGCTCCATGTGTCAGTTTCTTGCTTAGTATGTCCCTCAAGCAGGAGCAAAGGGCAGCAGCTCATCCCCAACCTGAAATGGGTACTTTTAACTTTTTGCGACTGAGAATCATGGTCATAGACTTGGTGCTAATTGCTGTCCCCAGTTGTTTCACACTTGGCCAGTACAACCTGGAGATTATCACTCTGATCACCTTAAACTTACACTACATTATCTAAAAAAATCAGAAATGAGATGGTAATGCCCACAAATCAACTGATTTTGACCTTACACCACCCACCCATCCATAAAAGTTCTGAACAGAAGCTCAGTACTGGTGGAGTCCAGTCCACTTACAATGTGAACCAATCTCTTTCTATAGTTTTACTGGGACTAAATGGCCTGTAACCTTTGGCCTAATACACCATATTCCTGAGGCAAACCTCCAAAGGACACATCAAGGAAAGCAATGAATGACTCCTTTGTGACTACAGAACATATGCTGATTTGTAGGACAGGACAAAAACTATATAGAGCTGGGACAAAGCTTCCCAGAGAGTCCCCTTTTCAAAAACTTACTGAGGACTTTCACCCCAGTTTGCCAATTCAAAATTACTGTTCACTTCCACATGATATTGCAGGTCAACCAAGAAAACCCAGAAGTATCCAGACTTGGAGCAATCCCCATGCCCAAGTGGCCTGGCCATTGGAGAGCATAATTTAAGCTGTTCTAAAAGAGAAGGTTGTGTGAGATTGGACAAAAACTCACACAATCTTTATTATTCTTGAGACAATAAAGAGTTGATCCACCTGAACCACAACTAGAATGAAAGCTACACTGTTCCTCTTCAATCTGAGGTTTGACTAAAGGGTGGACTGATGACACTAACCTTCCCAGAGAGCTCCCTTGTTAAAGAGGGAAAACACTATCCCAGTTTAATGAAGACAGCCCTACAACAATAAAGACATGGGGAATTTTCATCCACCTCCCAAGGGTGGAATTTTTTTTAACCCTGTGACCTCAGCTACAGTAGTGGATGAATTGTCCTACTTCTTCCCTGATGCTGCTCTTTTATTTATTTGTTTTTAAAGACAGATTTATGGCATTTTACCTTTATCAGATAGTGGAGCACTAAAGACAGACAGGAAAGTAGAATATGCTCCACTTGGACTCAGTGTCCACAGTGAAGATATCCCAGACAGGGCCCTCCACCAGACATTCCAGCCCAACCTCACTACATGTGGTGATCTATTAACGCTTCAACATCTCTGTTCACTCGAGTGTCCAAGACATAGAGCCATAGGTCTGATGACCTTATTAGAAAAACAATCCTAGACTTGGCACTTAAGGAGTCCTGGCGCCTAGTGCGCTCATGAACACCCTATATTTGAACTAGGTGTCCATAACATAAGCCATTGTTCACGTAAGTGCTGATGTTGCCCAGCAGGAAGAATGGAGTCTCTGAATAGGGCACTATCTAGCATCCCAGCATGGACTCCACGAAGGACAGGGACTCTCACACTGCAGCAAGTCTACTGGTTCATTCATGGTTTAAAGGTAAATTTTCCAATACCTTATTAATAATGTTAAATTGTCTTTACTAATGTGTAAAGTGAAAACCAAAAGGAAAATAAACCCAGCTGAACAAAATGAAGATGAAGACAGACAGGAAATAAAAGCAGAGGCATGACACAAGAGAGACATGACAGTAAAACAAAGTAAAACAAAAAGTCACAAAAACAGAGATAAGACCCTAACACTATATAACCTAACACAGAGGCACACAGGTAAAGGCTAAGGAAAATAACACAAGGAACTAAACTCTTCAAACCCTAACCAGACTGCTAATGGAAATAAAAAGGACGTGGAACTAGCTGCAAAAGGCCCTTGATGCTAAGAAGGAATATAAAAATCAAATATAAACAACAAACAAACCGAGGAGGAAATGGAGTAACTTCATTCTTCCTTAATACTGAAACTAAAAAACTTTATCATGTTACAACATGAAATGCACATGTGTGTGCAGCACACATGCAGGGAGTAAGGAAGTGGTGAGTTTTTCACAAGTACAAGAAGCCTCTGCAGTATCTTCAACAGATTATTTGAAAATTTAAGGTCGTGAGTATGATGAGCCTGATGGACAGATTTAACTCTCTGATGACTTTTTGCTGCTTTGTGTTTGTCTCTTTAGATGGACACGGTAAAGGTAAACCTTTATTAATGCTTTTTCTGAAAGCTCTTCTATTAATGAGAAGTTATTTAATATAAACTAATTGTAAAAATGGAAGGATGGATGGAAGAACAACTTAAACAAATGAGATATTTGTTTGCTGAGACTGAAAAGTAAAGACTGAGAGCACAAGACTGGAATGTAGAACATAAGAGACATAGATATAATAATTGGGTACACTGAAACATGACACCGTGTCATGATAGTAAAAGTATTGAAATATATTTTAAAAAGCGAAAGCTCTTAAGTAATTTGATTCTTAAGTTTAATCTTTGTATTCCTTCCAAGGAGTGCACAAAATGAGCACTGCCATAGAATGAGTGCTTTCCCATTCCATTTTTGGTTCCTATCTTGTTTTGATCTTTATTTTTTATTTTATTCTATTGTTTTTTTCATGTGTGTTGCTGAATCCTGAACTTAAACATAGCATGTAGAATTGATACAAATTTGATGTGTGATACTGATATTAAATCACAAAATGATATTTTAACCACATAAATTAAGATTTGATCTTCAACATACAAAAGTTGACAATTTTAGTATGAAAATGACAATTTGTGTAATTCCAAAAAAGTTGGGATGCTTAGTAAAATGTAAATGAAAACACAATGCAAGAAATCTGCATATATTATAAAATCATATTTTATTCGCAGTAGAACAAAGAAAACATGTAAAATGCTTGAAATTAATAATGTAATTTATAAATGGTATTAGCTTATTTTGAATTTGATGCCAATAATATATGTTTTGCTATTAGTAGTTACAACAGTAGTGTAAGACAGGAATAACACTTTGATGCTTAAGCTTGTAAAACAAGCACCATAGTCAAGCTAAGAACTGTGAGTATTGTCAAAAAATGCAATAGTTCCTACATACAGTGACTATTTTTATCAACTCAATAATTTAATTATACAACAATCAGATATAAATAAGAAAATGTTCAAAACAATTTAAAAAACAAAGAAAAACAGTTTTAAACTATTATCACCTCTAAATCTCTCTTCTTTACTTATTTTTAGGTTTACATGCTTCGTGTGATGTTGCGATTATGGTCCGAAGAAACAGCACTTGGAAGACTCCTCCACGACAAAGTCTGACAGTCAGCTGTCCGGTTATACACTGTGGAGAAACGCTGGAGGTCACCTGGTGTAAACTCTTTGACTCAAACAACTGTGAACGGATTCATGAAACAAAAAATGTGAAGATAACACAGGATCCTGATAAGGATAAGCTGATCTCATATTTAAATTTCAAGGAGATTTCCATTCATGACGATGGAAAGTACAGATGTGGTTTACTAGGATATAATGGCAGCATAATCAGCCATTCCATCATCATCTCAGTATCAGGTATGCTTTCAGATATATTTTATTCTTCATCAGCATTAAAATATAAAATAATAAAATATGAAGTGTTAATTCTGTCTACTATGTATCATTCCCTAAAGACATGTACCAGGGAGTTGAAACCCCCGATAATAATGATAAAAATACAGGTGAGAAGCTTTATTTGTCAGAAAATCACTGCCAACATTTTCGTGGATGCAGCTTAGCACGACTGATCTGGTGATTCTGCTTTTGTAGGAACAACACCGAGCTCTGATCACAATGAGGATAAAAACTGGAGGCCATACTTCTACATTTATTTTGGCATAGTGCTTCTGATTCTCATACTGACTGCCCTCATCTTCCAGAGTTCTTATGACTGGAAACGTAAGAGCATTATTTATTTCTTGGGGGATAGTTGAAACTAAATTGATTGAATTTACCATCTAAAAATGTGTAATTTAAATATTGACTTTTTCTACAGGAGCACTGACCTCCCCAGCAGCCCAGCCCTGTTCGAGCCAGATTTCAGCTTCAAATCCAGCACTTAAATATCAACAATGTGCAGTATATGTTATCATCAAACATAGACACGCTACCAAACAGGGTGGAAAATATCACACCATGAGTAACCAAGTTAAAAACCCAGAGTCTTCTTTCACTGCTGAAAGACCAGGATCACCAACTTGCCAGCCCCATGAGCATCAGATTTCAGCTTCAAATCCAGCACTTAAATATCAACAATGTGCAGTATATGGTATCATCAACCACAGACATACTACTAAACAAGGTTTAGTAGAACAGCACACCATGGCACAATCAAGTTAAAAATCCAGAATATGCTGTCATCAACATTCCCTCACTTTTTTTCATTTGAAATGGCTACTTGTGGATGAAATTGTGTAAAAGTGTAAATCAGTACAGTCATGTAAAGAAAAAAGTTTGACTATATAATTCTGTGAAAAACTAAGTAAATCTAATTAGATCTTCACCAAGTTGGCTGATCTAAGATAAGATAAGATAAGATAAGATAAGATAAGATAAGATAAGATAAGATAAGATAACCTTTATTAGTCCCACGCGTGGGAAATTTGTTTTGTTACAGCAGTGGACAGTGCAAAGTTGCATAGAAAAATTAAAGAAAAACACTGGAATAAGATAACAATAAGATACAGTACACAATAGAATAGAATAAAACAAAATACTATATACAATTGAATAAAATAGAATAAAATAGAGTACAAATGCATACAATATGAGTATAATACAATGATGCCAGAGAGAGTATTGCACTTAGTGTTATTGCAATTTCAATCTAGAGCAACAATCTAGAGCAACAAAACACCATATATTCACTCCAAGGTCTGACAGTGCAATCCTCAGAGGCTAGATTAGGTTCTATAGGCCTGTTAAAGTTTGTGACAGAACAATTAAAAAAACATTAGACATTATGGCTTGTTTGGAAGAGTTACCAAGAGAAAGTCTCTTCTCTCTAAAAAGAACATGGCAGCACTACTTAGGTTTGCAAAGTTGCATCTGAAAAAAAAAACAACAACAAAACTTCTGCAATAATATATTTTAGACAGATGAGATCAAAGTTGAAATGTTCGCAAAAACCAAACAAAGTGTATCAGCACAAACAGCTCAAACCAACTTTCAGTCAAGGTGGTGGAAGGGGGATGCTTTTTGGTTTGTGATGCAGCTGGGGACCTTACAGTCATCGAGTCGACCACAAATTCCTCAGTATACCAAAGTATTCTCGAGGTAAAATGTGAGGCCATCTGTCCAATAGCTAAAACTTGGCCAAAACTGGGGCATGCAACACTACAATGATCCCAAGCACAGCTACAATAGCAAATGTATGACAGAATGGCTGAAAGAGAAAAGAATCAGGGTGTTTCCACAACCTAGTCAAAGTACAGACTTCAACCCAGATTTGATAAATGCTGAATCTCAAGACAGCTGTGCAAAAACAAAAGCTTCAAAACTCAAAGGACTGAAAAATTATTGCTACTATATATGATTCCACAGTCTGATGAATTGATGGGTGTGTGTGAAAACTTTATCTTTCACATGACTGTATGAAGTGGCATAATGTGATGAGAAAGACTGCAAACGAGGTGAATGGAGGAAGCTTGTGGTTGTGTAGATGCACTGTGTGTCCTATTAAGCTATCATGAACAGACCAAAAGCAGCAGCAACTTTATTCTCTCACGCTCAGGTTTAATCCAGACAATGCTTTTATTTTATTTTGAATTTCTTTTTATTTTCTGATATGACTTTGTTCCCCCATTCAAATCCATGTAATTGGGTTGGAATTTTTTTAAAAAAAAAAAAACATATTCAACTCTGATGGCCAAAACTTTGACAATGCCATAAACTTCATTAATGGAATAGATTTGTTCTGTATAGACTTACTGATATTTGTAATGCAGTCTTCTGATTTGTTACAGGATGCTAAACGTGAAAAAAGTTCTGTAATGTAAACTAATAAGTGACTCATGTACAACTTTTGAAAGATTATTTTGTTTGAAATGTTAATGATTGTACTTACTGAATTACAGATTTTTATATTTCTCTTAAATGAGCTCGTTATTGTTCCTATATTAAGGAGATTAAAGGGATTAAAGGGATTAAAGGGATTAAAGGGATTAAAAGGATCATGTCCACTCATGGCATGTTGCAAAATACAGTAACAACACCAGAGATGCTTGAAGATATGAACAAATATTTGTAAAAGCCCATGATTTCATCTCATACCTTTTTCTGTCCTACAAACAGGCCTCTTTTTTGTCACCACTAGTGTCAGAAATACAACGCCTTGTCTGTTGACCGCAGCAGTGGGGTTTAACTTAAATGTGCAGGAAATTAAAGATGGACAGATTTAAGGTTTCAATGAGATCATGTGGCAAGTGGTGCTCCACCTCAACCACATGTTTATATACTTAGTGTTGCAGTTTGGGTGATGACCTTACTGTTGGTGCCACTTTTCAAGTAAGGGTAGCAATGATCAGCTATTTAAAGGTACCAGAAACTACAAGCAAATGAGAATGGAAGAATTAGAGAACGCCAGCTTATGATACAAACAAATACCATTATTTGCCAGCGTAAACTCCATGTTTTATAACTGCTGGAGGTTGAAGTCCTTAACATCATGGACTTCTTTCCCTTGCATCTCAGATTTCTCTGAGTCATTGTATGTGTGGGTCTGAAACTGGAGGCATTCACAAACAAGCAAACAAAGCAAAACAAAGACATTATTTAACCCAATTTTCAGAACAGATACAAGTTAAATTTTTTTAATGGTGCCACATGAAACTTTAAGCAGTGAAAAACACATTTAAGTTCTGTAAACAATTGCAACTGCAAACAATTGTGTGAAAGTGTCACCCACAGATTAGCCATAATTCAGAGTAGGAACACAGACTGACCAATATCCACCTGCTCTACCAAACAGATGCAGATGCCGCCACTAATCCATCAGCCGCTCTCCTGCTCCACCTTCCCTCACCTTTGAAGAAGAGTTTGAGATAGACAAAAGTATTGGGCCACACCTTTAAACTTTTGAATTCAGGTGTTTTTAGTTCCATTATAGGTCTACAAAATCAAGTACCAACAATGTAGCCTTTAAATAAACATTTGTCAAAGAATGGGGCGCTCTAAAGAGCTCACTATAAGCGAAGTCTGTGAAATTTCTTCCCTCCTATTCGCCACAATCAGATATTCCACAGTATGCAAAGTGAAAATGCTTAGAAGCCCCAGCAGTTCATGAAGTGATAGACCTGCCTTTCTATACAGGCAGGAAGTCTGCCTGCATAGAAAGGCAGACAGGAAGTCTGCCTGTCTATACCCTCACTTGAAGTCAGCAGTGCCCCATCCCCAACATATATATTGTGGGCAGGGAAATGCTATCCTCGACTGAGTCTCATGAGAGCTGAACAGAATCCCCTTGAAGCTTCAGCCACAGCCAAAACTGCAATCACTTTTGGCCTGTTGGCCAGTGGTATATCACAAAAACATGATTAATTCCCTTTTCTAAAATACAGGGTGGGCCATTTATATGGATACACTGTAATAAAATGGGAATGGTTGGTGATATTAAAGTCCTGTTTGTGGCACATTAGTATATGTGAGGGGGCAAACTCCTCAAGATGGGTGGTGACCATGGTGGCCATTTAGAAGTCGGCCATCTTGGATACAACTTTTGTTTTTTCAATAGGAAGAGGGCCATGTGACACATCAAACTTATTGATAACGCCCAACTCTTGAGCCACGATCGCCCCAATGAAAACAATACGTTTAAAAATGGCATTTTTCTCAGTATTATACATGTTGTTGTACCTGGAAAACTTACAATGAGATGTAAAGGCTACTAAAAAACCGTACATCTGTTATGAAAGATTGTAAAATATCAGGGCACAGCACATAGTAAAGGAATCTACTGTTAGAAAATGCCTAATGTGAGGATGTGATTATGGTCTGGAGAGGCAAGTCATTGAAAACCACCCAGGCAGGCACTATTGAGAATCACTAGATGCCTCTATTGTCACCTGATGCAACCATATTTGGAGGAGAGAGCTCTCAGCCAACATTGGCACTGGATACCAGCTTGGCAATGGCAATCTGTAATTCACTCTGATCATAAATGAGTTGCCAAGTTTTACTAGCAAAAACAAAGAGTATCTTCCCAAGATCACAAAGACATACACAAAAAATTAAATTAAATATTTTAAAATAATTAAGTGAAAAAAAAAACCCGAAACGTGCTTTTGTCTCAGAGGTAGAAGAAGCTAGAGAACAAAATCCCATTTGTTGTGTCTGGTTGTATTTATGCTGTAATTCTGGGTATTTTAACACAGGAGCCTGTAGCAGCCATTAAAGAAAGGGAAGCATTTTGCACTTCCATACTGGCTTTATTTTTAGTTGGGTAACAAATATCGTTTAGTATAGAAAAAAGAATTGGAAGGAACTGCATAATCACCAAAGCCACAAGCTTTCCTGCCCTGTGGTAACCAGCCTTCTGCTCCAAACTGAAAAAGAAACAAACAAAAAAAAAAAAAATCAAGACTGCTGTGAATGACTTCATCAACCATCAAGACTGCAGTAAACCTGCTGGAAAACAGCAGGTTTATTAACCAAGTTAAAAACCCAGCATATGCTGTCAAAATAACATTTCCTAAATGTTTTTAATTTAAAATGCACAAGTTAAATAAAAAAAAGTGCACTGGCGTGTGGCTGTGTTGTGCTGTTGAGCAGATGATAAGCGATCAACCATGCTGCAGAAGAGGTGAACAGAGGAAGCTTGTGGTTGTGTAGGTGTGCTTTCGGACATCTGAAGTTATTCTGAGTAGACCAGAAGCAGCAACTCTCACGCTCAGATTCGTTCCAATGTTGCTTTTTATTATGTTTTAATATTACTTTCTTTATATTCTTCATTTGCAGTGAGCAATACGGAAAACAAACTAAAAACAATGATTTCGCAGAAAATCCAGTGGGTAAATAGATTTGTTCTGCACAGACTCAGTGAAAATGTGTTGTTCAGTCATTGGGTTGATTTGTCAAGGCTAGCAATCATGTGAAAAAGAGAAATCAGCTTTTCACTGTAATCACTGGCTCATCTGTGACTTTGGAACCATTATGTTTTTTGAAACGTTAATGAATGCAGTGATTTTATTGCACGTTTTTGCATTCCTCTTACTTGAGCTTATCATTTGACTTACTTACCTGTCCATTCATTACTTGTTGTGAAACAGAACTACCAGACAGACATGGTGTGAGTGTGAAGAGAGATATGAGCAAGCACCTTTACCAGGTCATCTCACATCTGTCCCACACACAGGGCTCATTCTTTTTGTCACTGCCACCGTCAGAAACGGGGCACTTTGTCTGCCAACCGCATCAGTGCGGTTTAGTTTAAGTGTGCAGGAAGTCAAAGATAGAAAGATTTCTGACAATGACACCTCGTGGTAAGAGTTGCTCCACCTCAATATTACATTGTTTACGTAATACAGCAGTTTGGGCGTTTGCCTTATGAATTGTGAAATAAA